AGGTTGCCTCGCAGATCTGCCCAGTTAGGTAGGCTAGCATACACACGTAAAACAATAAACAAGACGCGGGTGGTTTACTCAATTTGGAAGAGTCGGGATTAAGATGCATGTGTAGTTGTCCGAGGGATATTCCTCTAGCTGGGATGTGTAAAATAGTTATTGTTAGGTCCTCCAAGTAAGAGTGCAAAAGGTAAAACCATCGAAATGTAGACCATACTTAGCATTTAAGGCTTATTTAGTCCGGAGATTTTAGGGTGGCACTTGCCTGCGTATTTCATAGTTGTCTTTGGGTCGATATACTTCTGAAACGCGCAAACACAGACAGAAAACCGTTCTTTGGCTCAAAAGCCAGCGGTGTTTGATGAACAACTTGCTAGACTTATTCCCATCCGTGGAGGAGACTCTGCTAATCAGACATCTGTCTATGGACCACTCTAGTAAGAGAGACTTTGCGGATGCCACACAGACATCGTTCGGTATAGCTCAGGCAGTATTCAGCCTGTGTCGCAAAGAGAAATTCCACCCTATTCATGACCGGAATACACCTGTTCCATGATTTAACCTGGAATAAGGAAGAACGATAGAGCGTTCTCGCATGAGCTGGTCCCATGAGGATTAAGTATGCGATATATTCAACAAGGTTAGGTTTTCTAATCTGACACGTAGAAGGGGCCGGAAGGCCGAAGAAATGTAAGCGCCGATATAAGCTAAAGAAAATACAGGGGCCAATAGCTTGAGAACCACATTTTATAGACACAGTAGTGGCAGAAAACCAGGAAGACATATTTTGGATAGTCCAGATGGCTATTACTAACATTCAGATGAATTACTCAGAAAATGAAGCATCAGCAGTCTTTCATCCGATTTGCTGAGATCGTGTGACACTTTTGTTTCTGTAAAAAGTAACATATCTCTTTAGACTTTTCACGAAGTGAATGTCTGGGAGGTGGACTCCAGCCGCCCACCTTCGGCATATCGGACATTTCACTGGACTTCTTACCTCAGGGTCTGCCTAATCCCCATCCTAGCAACTCCCTGAAATGGCCGGAGATCAATAAGTCATTTTCACTCCCAGACCGTTGACTTCGTGAAGGATACCGTCCACTCATACACAGCACAATTACGAGCAAATCTCACAACACTAGGATACAGATATCGTATGGCGACCATACACCAAACAAAAAGATACACCAATGGTCGTTGGCTTGTTTGCTGAGCTGGGCACTTTGATTGCAAACATTTCATCACCAGTTGAGGTGACATCATCAGTGCGTTATTGGGGAGCGTAGTGGTGCGTAGCGGTGGGCTAGTGGTTGTGCATTGAGCAGTGTTACGTATGTGATAATGCGTGTGATAATACACGTGCTGCTAGTCGGGGATGACCTTTGACCGCGATTAGTTGTTCGATCGGGCGGTTGCATTGGTTGCTCTGTTATCCTGTGTCCTCATTACGCGATAACAGAGCAACCAATGGAACCGTCCGACCGAACAACTAATTCCGGTCAAAGGTCATCCCCGACTAGCAGCACGTATATTAAAAAACACGCAACACTACCCAACGCACAACAAATGACCCACTGCTACGCACCATCACGCTCTCCAATAACGTACTGATGATGTCACCTCGATTGGTGATGAAACGTGTGCAATCAAATTGCCCAGCTCGGCGAACGAGCCAACGACCATCTACCCTACCTGAGCTACCAACATTTTCCTCCATAGAAAATATACACCAATGTTCATCACAACACATTGCAATGGACATACACAGATTAAAGTAGACCATAAGTTTGTGAAAACCAATCTATAAGTACCGTTTTGATGGTTGTATTTTACCTGGAAGGTAGGTATTCCAACCGTCATAAATGCACATATCTGAGCAGTCCTGCGTGACTATTCTAGCGGGTCCACACCAACGGGGGAGCATTAAACTCGAGCTTTGCTCCTACTAGGGATTATAAGCAGTACATATCCTTGGCCATGCTCGACTTTGACCTCCGAACTTTTGACACGCGACGTGAGCGTATCACCACTACCCCGCCAGCGTACGTTTGGTGCACCTGGACTATTACTTCTGAACAGGTGAACGTGTTCGCGTATGAGTGATGTGACTGGTTTGACCGACGGCTTGAAAAACGACCCAGTGTCTCCCCTGGTTGTACCGATCGTTTGACTCGCCTGGACCTCTCAGTCAGATAGCGTCAACGAAGCCCGAAGCCTGCTGGATAATCTTGAAGTAGTTGTAGAGGATCACTTAAGCATGAACACAGCCGCCTCTTCATAGGCAAAACTTCGGAAACCAGCGTAAGCTGGTTGAGTTGTAATAACACGCTCGCCTCGTATGCCAGATGTTCGAAGTTCAGAGCCTTGTGTGGCCAACGATATGCACTGGGGATGAGCTGTAATCAGAGCAAAACTGGAGTCTAATGCTTCTCACCGTTGGTGTGGACTCGTCAGAATAATTCCCCCAAGATAGAAGGAGGAATGGTGTGAACTCGAGCGATGGGATTGCCGGAATTTTTTTTCGTTTGTTCGGGTTTCGTCCTACACAGTTGCTTCACATAGACAATTGCTGTCAAACGGTGATAGGCTCATAATACGATTCTGACGTCATAGTGTCCTCAGAGAGTAAGTCCATAGGGAAGTCGCACCTGAACCCCCCAGTAGCCATTCTTCCTCCCAGTTGATTTCCAGGATATTCATGACCATTTTTACTTCCCTCATTGTGACAGTCCTAAAATACGGCCAAACTACATCTTTTCATTGGGATAAAGGGGAATTTGACTTCTTGTAAAAATTCCAAAGCCACAGATTCGAAAACGACTTTTGAGCACACTAACTGAGGTACAAGCAAGTGCTTTGTGATTTGAGTGTTTTTCACGTGTTATAGTCGAGGATTTAATTCCACTCACAGAGTATTTTAGTGTAGTATCTTCGAGCAAAAGCTCCATAGTTACCCGCACCTTGAACTACATTTCATGAACTGGTTGGCATCAGGGGAATCTAACATGACCTCAGAGGCGTCCTCTCTGTCCGAATACTTTGCTAAAAGGATCACGCTTGTGATGAGGATGACTGGTTTCCCGCCTGCCTACATGCCCGTTTGAATCTTGAATGTTACTTTGTTTGGAAATTAGACTGCTGTGAAAACACAGTTTACGTTGCGAAGTCGAATCGCCCCTTCCCAAAAAAGTCATTAGATGGGAGCATTTTATAAATAAGGAATACTGTATCCTAAAAGAAGACCCCTTCCTAAAGTGCGTAATGTATGAATATCGGGATCACCACTGTTGTCCCTTGTTTTTCCTTAGACGAAAAGGAGAATACGGAATCACAAAACAAAAATCTTTTGAAGTCTATTAAACCGGATAGACAAAATCGTAGCCATTATCTCCCCCTCCCCCACAAATAGTACTGCATTATAGAAGTCGACGAAACCTGATGAAGATTCCCAGAGAATAATCAATGAAGTCCCTACACCACAAGGATCGGATAACACCGCCTAAAAATGAACTGGTAGGATCTAATGAAAGTAACTGGAATGGTTCTACTTTTGATGAATTTGACCGCAACACTAGCACTGGCTGAATTTCACCGATATTCCAGATGGAATAGTGTAGTCAGGTGATACTGTAACAAAAAAGGTCAAGTAACTCATGTAATACATTGCAATTCATTTAAATGGCATGACAAAATGACGGTGGATCTGTCGGAAAGTTAGTACAGCTACATTTCAGTTCGAATCCCCGCATGAACTTTTGCTAGTGTTTGACGTGAATTTTGTGGAGAATAGTCTAGCGATCAAACTGTCTCAAATTGTGTCAAACTGTCAACTATTAGATCCAGAAAAATGGAGGGCACTCAAATACACACAAAAAAATTCAGCAGCTCGTGCTGCTCACAACTATACAGCTAGGCACAATCACGAACAGCATTTGCCCGTACTGTACGGGCAATGCTTCGAGAAGTAGGGCGATCTCCCAACGATGTAATTACCAGTGGAAATAAAGTGAGCTACAAAACTTGTACCAACTTCCTTAGTTAGTCAAACCGATGCCTCTCAAGATTGAGAAAAAACATTTTCACAACCGTACCAGAGCTTCAGTATACCTCCACATTAACAGAATATGATGAAATATTCTACAAGAAGGTTATGGAGAGATTATTGTTTCTCTCTACGGCGCTTTTCCAGATTAGACATGGAGATTTGTGATCGTTGTTGCTTATATTTACTGAACAACTTAATCACAAGTCTTCCATGGTCTATCTGGGACCGAAACGGCAAGAAGAATTCCTCGTTAACTTACTTATTTCAACCAGCTGGTAGCATCCAATGCTGTAAATTATGCCCATGAATCGGAGCAATCCTAGTACGAGCTTTTCTCCTACCGTGACAATTACAATGCCAGTGGATCAATGCCGGAGCGAGAGAGGAAGCAGCCGCAATTCCGCAGGTCATTCCCCCTTCTCTCATTGAGTAGCTGTGTCTCCATTGAATGCATGCAGCTGAACCAGTGCCTCTTGCGCGTGATGATACGCCAATGCACAGGCGGCCGTGCGCACTGGCGCTGGTGAGTGCGTGCATGTCAATGGCTGAGAGCACGTGTCCTGTTGCGCGCACATACGCACCGACAGGCATACGCATCTATGAGCAGACTGGCCAAACGGGCATCGATTGCCTCAGCTGAGATGCGAGGACAAACTGACAGTATTTCCCTGATGATTACGCCCACATTTCCTGTGTAAACAGGTATGTGCGTGGACGACTGATGTCCATTCTCCCAAAAGGAAAAAATCCGATCTTCGTTACAGCGACGGCAATGGCCATTCGCTTCGTTGTGGACCAATCAGGGAGAACAATGGATCTACGCTGAGTGACCTCACAAATTTCGTAACATATATATATTGTCCGTTAGATCGGAGCAATTCGAATAATGTGGATTCTGTTAGGCCTGCTGGTAACGTGCTGCGTAATCTCAACTAACGCATATGAGATTCGCATGCCTGATGTGCGGACAAAGGAAGTAAGCCACACTAATTCTGAGACCGCTTATCTATCGCATTGAGGACGACGAATACCTATGCTATTCAAAACCGTTAAAAGGAGAGGTCTATTATATAAGTGAGTTCTTTTCATAGTCGAACTATGAGTCTTTTTTGGGCAGCCTAGAAATCGATACTAAACTGAGGTAACTCAGTTATTCCGCTTATCAATCTTGGGACACTAACGGGCTAAAGTTTATATTCATTTGATAGTGTACAAACGAAATAATGTTTAGGTCAGTGATCTTTTTTACTGTCTCCATTTTACTACGAACCTTCAACTTTTCAACAATCGAGGTGAATTTTTTCAAAAGTTAGCACGTTTGCTTCCGTCGTGACCCTATAATAAATTTTCCTCTTTCATGTAAATCCCCTCTGAAGGTCCACTATAGTGGACCCTCTCTAAAACTCTTGGAATAAAATGTGCCGAAACAGGAAACCCAACGCTCAATTCTAGAGTGAAAGACGTGTCTAGCTTTTAAGTGATCTGGTTGGGTTCAGCGTCCAACAACCTTTGGGCATCAGATTCTCTGGTGAGCTTCTAATTCCTCTGCAACAGTATTCAGAGAAGCTGGATGGAAAAGCATTCATCAGCGTCACGAATCCATCCGATTTAGTCCCACTCCATCTGTCCGTACAATGACGTCTCCGTACGTTACAATTTTTCTCGTTCCTCACCCCTAACGCTGGTTTTTTGTGTGATATCCTTCGTTTCGACTTCAGGATGTGGGCCACCGCTGGTCGTGTCTATGATCTTTAGCTGACTAGCGTTGAAAACAGGAATAGGACATCTTCACCGTGGGTAGAAAAAATCGCAGAAAAAACTTGACATTTAACGCATGGCAGTTCAGCTGTATCCCATTCAGTTCCCCTTTAGTTTTGTTCGCTTCTAATAGAACTTAGGACCACGTTCCTAATACGCCTTATGTTTCTCCATCTTAGTTAATCTCAGTCAAACGTAAATCAGATGATATCTGATGTACAATAATGATTCTTGTTGTCGGTTGTGATGTTCAGTCTAGTGACAAAACTTTTGGCGCAATCTTTGTGCCTCTTCGTCGGCAGAAGAAACTCTGACTGTAACAGAACCTGCAGTCATGCTCATTCGAGTGAAATCAATGTGATCATGCACAAATCTTATACTGGTAACCTAAGTAGCGATAGGCGCGTTAGAAAAATTCTATCCTTTCTAACTCTGAACAGAAGTCTTGCTATACTGGGATCAAACTTCATCAGTTTACCACTTCTCCATTTCTTTTGTGGTAACCGGGATTTCCATTCTGTTTCTTTACAGTTCTCATATTACTTCATAGTGTTTAGATGTCTTGTTACGAAGTTTCCTCTACACTTCTATAATTTGTACGTGACAAACGACGGTTTAACAGAAACGTCAGTGAAGTTTATGGGACTTATCCACAGCGATATCTAACTTGCTTTTACACAGGCAAGCCCGAGATGCATCAATACATTGCCGAGAACGATGGAAATGCAAGATCTTCATCGCCCTGGGATCCCATAAGCTGGCTTCACTGAAACTAACGAGACCACGGAAGTTTTCTTAAGAGGTTTTAAAGACCGAATCAGCATAAATCACCCCTGAGCAACCTAAGGCGGTCGGATAGCCTCAGTATGAATCTCTCTCTCAAAGTAGGCCATTCACTAAGAGCGCTTTAAGATTTAATCTTACTGACTTCCTGTTTGACCATGCGAGCCCATACCAAAGTAAATGATTCTATCCAGCTTTCTACCTCAAGCTGAAACTAACGCCGTAAATTCAGTGCAAATCACGGACTAATCATTACACCAGATCTTTCCAAATGTGTACTACGAAGAATTAAAGAAACGATATATGATACGGAAATTCAGCAAATATGCTACCACTCCCAATATGCTCATCAGGCTTCTCGATATGATTATGTAAATTCGTTCTCGGAAGTAACTAAATGACTACTCATAAGGTTGCTGAAAATCCGCCGACAGCCTACGACCGGTTTCGCCCTTTTTGGTTTCAAGTAGAACATAAGGTTGACGGAAACTCGGGGACTGCGCTTACCTGATGAGCCCCAAGAAGGGCGAGACCGGTTATGGGCTATCGACGGATTTTCAGCAGCCTTATGAGTAGTACATTACAAATATATACATGTATCGCGATATCTCGAACATCGTAGCGACTGAAACATGAGGCGGCCTGATGCAGCACATTCAGTTGCCTGAGCACATCACAAACGAGAGATTCAGCTGGTATCCAGGTGAGTATCTCGAAAAACCAAATTAGTTGGCAAATGGGTGTATATTCGCGAGGTTCAGCCCCCACTCTACTGGTCTCATGTTGCTAAGCCGTGTTTAGTGAGCTCGGCCAACGCACCTGCTTTCCGGACATGTCGTACCGATGGTGACCTTGAAGATGCGTCACTCTCTGCGCATGTACTTTTTCCATATCTGGGCCCGTAGTGCCAGCAACTAACGAATTTTGGACAGTTTCATGGGAAATAGACCATGCACAAAACTATAGGTTATTATTTGACGACTGCATCCAACGCTGTTCAGCATTTGCCATGTATCCGTGCCGTAAGTGGTTTCATTCATTTCACACCCTAATCTGTACTGTTGAGCGCAAAAATCTACTTGGAAGCATGACCTAGGTTGGGTTCACTTGTGGGTCCGTTCGTAGCCAGATTGGTTTTCACCAGTTGGATGTTCCGTGTTAACTGTGTTAGTCTTTGAGGCGGGATTTTCGTGGCAGATGAAAGCAGTTATTAGCACTCGCATAAAGAGGACTGTCTGATTTAAAAACTCGATGCTTCTCACTCAGACGAATGTGGCAAGAGTCAGATGGGTTTTTCTTTGAAACAGATCTTGAAAATCTTAAGCCATAAAAGCAATATTTTCAATGAACGGCCTTTTTTTGACTTTTGGGGCAGACATAGTTAGCTGTGGGACTCTCGATATCTTCAGAGGTGGCGTTATCGGGAAGTAAGGTTGTGCTGCTGGTGTCAATCAGCATAACTATGTATTTTTACCCATTTGAAAACTACTGATAATTCAGTTCGCACTGTGTAGCGTTTTTTCTACCAGGGCTACCCTCTATATGTAATTTGTGCTCCAATTATCTTGAAAGAAGAGCCTTTTGATGCAAACTGGAGCGAGCACTGGTAACTGGACGGAATCGCAATGCCTGCAACCGCCCGAATATCGTTTTCCCTGATAAGGCATTGCTCAGTGTCCCGGGGTTGACGGTTGTAGAAGTAAAAATATATATCGGAACACGACTGCTTCTAGGTTCCTCTAATATCCTATAATCTCAAATGTTTCAGTACAATGATCACCCGAAGTTCTAGTTGAAACCCTTCAACTTTTGTGGCAGCATGTTTGGTCTGCCAAGTGGTCCCTAAACTTAACCATAAACCTGATGAGGGTAAAATATTTCTTTCAAGTAAGGTATTATTGCATGTAACATTTCGAGTTACCGCAGCTAACTCGTATTGTGAACTATAAACGATGCTGCGAGACACTAGAGTAAGGCTGGGAACAACAGCTATCGGACAATGGCTTCAGAATTGCGGCCAAACCGACCAAAAGGCAACAGGTTCTTATCGAACCAAAATGGGACGATTTTTGTGCCGTAAAATGACACAAAATAACACAGCCAACTTTGAAGTGTTATCACTGAAGGCAGGCACCGTTTAACGGAAATAGAGCTTCACATCAATCCAAGAATGAGGATAACTGGTCTTAAAGAACTGGGGGTACCTCAGATTCCGCCTCGACATGAAAGCAAACGCAGCGAAGGGACGACTATCGACTGCATCGTGGTTTCAGGCTATACAGAAACAATTGCTGGTGGGAGCTAGGTTGGTTGAGCAAATAAATCTTTGTCCAATTGCCTAGGTTCTTGCTACAGCATTGTCACAGCTTTGTTTTCGTGACTATTGAAACAGTCATTTCCACATCTACCAGCCCCCATTCTGCTTCACATCATTCTCATTGAGTCTGAGTACCTCCTCTTCCAAGTTACACACAGCTAAGTTCTGGTACGGTTAATTTCTGCCCTAATGCTTTCATAGGGGAGTTATGTTTTGAAACACTCTTGTATGCATGTCCACTGGAATAAAAACCTGACCTAGTTAAGATCAAACTATAGTGTGAGTGTGGCTTACCACAAGGAGTGCAAGTTTTACTTGGGTCAGTTTTACTGTTCATTAGGGTGTGTGTAGGAATGCACTAACTGTACTGGAACGTGCGAGTTGCTTTGAAAGCACTCTCAGAATGTGTAAGGAATGTTACCAGCCCTTGTGGGTGTCTTCATAGCAAAACAAGCATTCTGCAGTAGATTATCTATTCCTTCGCATACTTGTAGTGGACAAAATGAGGTTTGGCCCACAGGTTGTGTTATATCTGACAGCTGTTCCCGCCTCAGTGCCTGGTGCCAGAAAGAGCTCACTGACAAGGGTACGGAACGGATTTATTCCAAACAAGCGATTGCATGTGAGTGCAAAAATTACAACGGTCCAGCGCTATTTAAGGGGGACTTCCTGACATTGATCTGATAGGCGTTTAGTTAACGCCCATAGAGATCGATCGTGCTTTTATGAAATGTCCGAACGCTGATCACTTTCGGTCGTGCTTCTGTGGCGTGCCTGAACACTCATCGGCTTTTGCTGAATTGATTGAATGATTGACTGGCCTGAATGTTTGTCAGCTTCTCTGTTGAGATCTTGGCAGGATTTTAGGGTCTCAGTGGGATCTGAGTGTCCTGTGGTTATTTTCAGGAATATGAGCTTCCTGATGGGTTGCGATGATGCAGTGTCGAAATAAGCATTTTCAATGTGTCACCGTGCATGGTGACCTTGTAGAAATCTGATGGCTCTTTTGGCGAAGCTGCTGAGTATGTAGCATTGTTTGATCAACTGTTTTACAGACTGATCTGTGCGGTTACGGTTGAGCCCAGTCTCTACCTGGATACAATCTCCTGCCAGTTGATGGTCACAAAAACAGAATCTCAACCGGCATGGTCGATAGATGCGCCGTTTATGCGGCTGGAGTTCACAGTTTTTGCATATCAGAGATAGAAACGTGCGTTACAAATAGCGAACGATTAAGTGACTGTAGGATACGGAACGCTATTGAGATCACCTGTTTTTTATGGTCTCTGTACGTCTTCTTTCCACTTAAAGTATCCAAAATTTTATCAGTTGTCCACTGAACTTATAGTCAGTTTCGACTTGGTAGTGAGTTAATCAAACTGCGACTCAGTCACTTGTGCTCGAACAGCTCAGTCACATTGGAGATTCGTAAAATGCGCACTGTTGATTCTCAATAAAGAGGGAAGCAGGTGTACAGTGGTGTCGGCTTTTCAGCGGGCAGTTAACCTGCAAGAGGTAAGCTAGGGTTGGAAAATACATAGTTATCTTCACATTATCAACAAACACGTGGGACCAACAGGTCACACTGTTTTGTGTTGAAAGAATGCAACACTCTGCTAAAGCCCTTGGTTCACGGCATAGAATGAGATTCACCCGACCTATATGATCTATCCGTAATATCTGACAAGATGAAGCTTTAAAGGGATCGACGTCCTAGCCGGACGATATATTATTCCTCTGCTCCACTGCACGTCTCCTATAATCCTGAAACGGATCGCCAAAACAGATTTTGCAATAGTACAACGCGAAATCCATCGACGGTAGGCTGCAGAGCATTCATGCTAGGTTTTCCTACATAGGCGTCATCAGTATATCTGAAGTATTACTGTTCTAATACTGGTGTAGGTCTTCGATTTTATCTTAAATACAGGGGGTTAACAGAGAATGGAAAGTAGAATAAAATATTCTCCCCCGATAGTGTTAGGACTTTTTGACAGCTTACCAGATGATTCGCTCTTTCGGAGCTCACCAGGCAAGCACTCCCCTCAAATTTCCATCAGCTGTTCTCTGTTAAAGACCATTAACTTAATAAGTTCAGTCACCCAAAGTGAAATCGTCACGTATCTTACCTTTAGATTTTGTCATGATGATCTATGGCAAAAAATAATCCTGATAATGGAAGAATAACATCGAATAGCATCAAGTCAATGAAAGTCTTACGCTACATACTAGGATAGTGGCCAAAACGACCCGAAAGCTCAAGTCTCAGCATAGAAGCAGTGAGCTTGTCTCACTATCAGGGATAAATATATTAGTCGTTCGGTTCGAATGTTGGTTACTGTCCTGAGTTGTAATAACAGGTAGAGGAGGGGAAAACGTCAAGCTAAAAGGTTGACATGGTCTCTTCCTAAGATGCTATACACATTCCAAATGTCAGGAGCTTCAACATGTTGAAGGTCGTGAGGTAGTGGCTACCCATTCAAGACCATGTAAATGTTGGTAGCTCTGGAATGGAGAGGAATTCATCTTCTTATATAGTTCGTCGTTCTTTTATTTTCCCAATCTATTCTAATCACGGCGTTTACGGTATCCGCATCTATTTTCATGACTCTATCAAGGCACTCTTTTAGTTCACCGGTTTTACACCTATGGATGCGCTGCTGAAATCTGCTGTTCATGGTAAAGATCAAGTAAGACAGGAGAGAAATCGGTATTCTGTTTAGATTCTGGCATATGGACCATCACATCGGTCCACTGAGATAGCTACCTGGGGAGAAGTTCATCTGCCACTGAGACCGTGTATTTCACATCAACTGTTACTGCACGTCGACATGTTTGCCACATACTTGCTTATCTAGCCGACCATGTCCAATGAAATACGCTTTACCGAAACAAAAAGTTCGATTTTCAGGAACACGATATCCACTCAATATAGGGGATAAGGAATAAATACTTCCGACTACGTCCCTGTTTCCCAAATACCGTATGCATAGATTATGATGACGAAGGCCGGCAGCCGATTTGATGGTGTCCATCAAAGTGGAGTATCAACAAATTCGCCAAAGTGGTCGACCGTGACTCAATCCGCTCAGCTGACTGGACTCGTAACGATAGTTGATTTCATCATGTAAATAAATTTTCCACCCCTGTCTGATTCTGCACGTTTCTGTCTTTTCTATTCCAGCATCTTTCGATCCAATCTATAATCCGGAGGCTACGCATCACATGATTTTATTGGGCTGTGACGATCCCACCTATGAAGAAGAAGCGTGGTGAGTTTGAATGCCTATAGTTGATTGTTATTCACACTAAAAACAAATCATTGTGAATGATGCATGGGTGATTTCAATCATCCAAGACAGATTAGTTAGGAGCTGACTAAAATATTCTGGAAACTGCGCAAGTTGTGCTGAGCTTTCGAACATACCTTGGTTCTGCTCTGCATGTAAAGATTTGAAAGTGCAAAGAGGTTTTTCAAAGGTTTTTGAATTTTGACCGTATTTGGAAGAATTGACTATTGAAATATACGATGTGTATTCTAGAAACATTAAGGGCACCATGCAGGTTCTACAATGGACAACGTACCTGCGAAATACGGTTATCACTTTTCACTTGGAATTTGCAATTAGTTCCTAACGGACTTTTACCATAGGTCGGACGGCAGCCGATCTTCGACCGTAAATGTACAGGTTCTGGACGAAATCGCCTCCCGATTCGCCTACCTCCATGATGTCAGTTTGCCTGAAAAGGATGCTTAACGGCAAAGCTGCCTGTGCAAGCAGAAAATCTGTAGACCTTGTTTAACCATCTTGGTCGCCGAGGCATTATCAAGAAGTGGTTTGGACACGAGATCAGCCATGTACGAGGATTCCAAGTGTAGTTCTTGGACGAAAAGCTCGTCCACGTTAGACAAGCTAGTCACATTCCATAGGGTTATGTACCTGTGGCGGAGAAATGTCCTTCCCGCAGAACAGTTTTCGCTGAACCATGTGGCAGTTGAAGCAACCAAGAAGTGAGAAAATCTAAGAATAGCAACGAAATGTAGTTGTTTACCTATTTCAACTGGAGAGTGGTATCTCAGTGGATGGGGGGCCTGAAGTCAATATCCTTTGTTATTGAATTGGCAACACCTAATCACTCTGTCAGTAGGGGATCATGTCTTAAAGCTGTCTCCTTAATCACTTAGCTGCCCCGATCATTTTTCGGGCCGAAAATAATAACAATGCGGTAGGCCATCATCTCCAAGAGGTGGTCGCTCCGTACTTATCTATCCTCTCTTGAAAAAGGAAGTCATGGAAACCGCCCCCAACGCATTCTAGCTAAATAACTGAGGCATAATGAATCATCCTTTAGTTTCCCTTCACCTTAGTAGTAGAATACCGGCCTGCCTACACCTTCAGGGTGACAACAACCGCAAGAGTTCTCTTCATATATCCTGAAGACAAAGATTCTTCTTCAAAAACTGTAGGTGAAATGCAAACACCATCGTAGTTATGTGATCATAAGGGCTGAGTGGGTTTGTATCACCAATAGGGTCACGTGTTTTCCAAGGTGAACATGTCTGGTTTCTGTGCCACAATACTTGGTTTTCTTAGATGGAAAGTGGTGATTGTGGCACTTCTCCACGCCCAGTATTTTGGTCAAAATTATGGTCTCTATATCCAGCGCCTCGACTTTCCTTTGATCCATTTCACGGCATTTTAGACCAGTCAGCGACCAATCAGCGCTATGCGTACTCATTCCTATTCTTTGTTCCTGGGAGAAACAGACAAATTCCACCATACTAAACGAATGATTGCACTTATACCGGGGCGTGCGTGTCCTCAGACCCATGTTGTCCGAAGAAAACCTTGCTCTTGTTAGATGAGCGCTCTCTATCTTGGGGGCACACAGCCTGAGCAATACTATGGTAGAATCTCCCAGTGCGGCTGAGCTAAACAATAGATAGTGCACTGAAAAATACCCCGCAGAACTGTCCCGCTAATTTGCCACAAAAAAACTTGATGCTCTGAGGAACATGCAGTGGAAGAATGGTCCATCTCCTTGTCCCCAACCGTTTTGTTCCGTCTGATTTAGCTTGACTTTGACTCTTGTTAGGTATGGTAAGATATTTAAGGGACACACGGATGGAAGACGCGGAATGCTCTAGCTCGGTTAGTTGTGATTAGTGTGACAGATGGCTCTCCGCTTTCCAATCCTGCCAATTCGTCTAGTTGTTTGTTAAGTTCTGTACAACTCACCTTGTCACTGGGCTCGTAAGCTGGAGACAAGATATTCTGAAACCTAATTCAAACTGTCCACAGTTCAAAATTCACATTTTCTTGAACCAATCAGATGAGCTTAACCTTTCCTAACCTCGAAGGCAACCGCGGTTTTCTTCGTATTTTAAGGGCAGGTTTTCCTGTGTGAAACGTGGTGTTTAAAAGAACGAAGTGACGTTGATTATAGTCTTTGCCGCATGTATAAACCTCCAAGAATCTAGTGGCTCCATGCACCGACAGTTTCACTCTGGAATTCACCGTAAAAAGCACCTTTCAGTAAACCGATGTTGGTGTTAGCATCGATGATTTTCGAATGAATGCTTGTTATAGCCGTTCATCACTTAAAGCCTTAGTTTTGACAGACTAAGGAGTGGCACATGCAGGGAAGCTACTTTTCAACAAGAACGACAATGTTTTTCTTTTGCTAGGAACATCTTTGTTGGAAAGTAGCCCATCTGTCATAATGCAAATAAACTCAGTTCAGAGCTATCCCACCCAATCTATGAAAGCGCGATCCCTCCGGAGACACTCTATTTCGTTAGCATGTGAAGCCACGCGTGGGTAATGGTATTACTTGTTACAGGGAATTTCGACAGTGGCAACGCCGCACTCTCACTGTGGCAATATGGTGGTATCCTCTTATCTCCTTGAATCCGCTGCCCTCCACAACGGTCAAAGGTGCGAAAAGAATAGAGGGACAAGTGTATCTGTTTGTTAATCCTAACATCTGAATAATGTTAAGTTCATATGGCATGAAATATTATTTTCTTGTCCTTAATCTTGATTCTGAGTCGCCCTGGCAAAGTAGGCATTAGGATCCCCGACAGAAGTAAATGCCTATGGGCTGGAAGGCGAAACGTATCCCTTACTCAAACAACCACTGGCAAAAATAGACTTTATTGATTGAAAAAAGGAAATATGCTAAATTCAAGCTTTCCAGTGGGGAGTACTTATACTGCAGCGTCCTCTACTCAAGGAAGTGCCTACTCAAGGCAGTGCCCTTTGGAAAACCAAGATATCTTCCCGCTTGATGTGATAGCTGACTTCACTTTTATCTGGCACCTTCTACTCTTTCGCACTTTGTCAGCTAGAGATTAATTATGTCACTTCGAGCAGAGTTATTACTTCCAGTTTCCAATAATATTGTGTTTACTTGATATATTCTGATATATCCTGATGAGGGCCAATGATTTTTGTCATATCACATTATTTCAGCCACTAGAGAAGGGTAAAGTTTACGCTGATTGACCGGATGGAAATATTTGGTAATATATCGCCAAAAAACAGTTTCATTCTCGAACACTCTATGGATCTTAACATTTTTGCTTTCCTTTGAAACATTTCCACGTTTGGTAATCCAAATGCTTATGATAGTGCTGAGACCCGCTGCAGGCTGATGCAACATCTAACCGTAGATCAAGCCAAGTTAAGAAGAGTTCGGTGTGTTAAACGACTCTAGACGGTTAAAGAGCAGACAGCGCAACCCAGAAACGTAGTGGACCATGACAAGTCCGCCAATATCTTGCTACATGCTATCCTTCGGTACAAACACGGTTTCGTCTTCTTCAGAGGGAGCAGTATCAAAAAAGGGAGTCCCTCGCAAAATACCACTTTCGTTGCTCTTTCAATCTTCTTTTGCCATATGCGGCAAATTTAAGAAAGGCCTTCTCTGGAAGAGACTGGCGTTTGTAGGCCTCATTGGAAGATCCATTCGGTGGCAGTAACTTATTTTAAATCAAAATATCAGTGTGCTTTGCAACCAGCTAAGTGTGAAGGTGAAGTTCCTCACTGTGTTCTTTGCATGTTTTGAGTGGCTTCGCGTGATGAGATGAATTAATAGCTAGCAAATTCATATGATGTACTTTTGTTCTTTGTCATGTGCACTCAACGCTTACGAACTCCAATTGGCTGATATATCCACCGCTTCCTTAACTGCTCTTTCTACATTTCGTCCTTTCAGGCCGTGCGCCGAGCACCTTCCAGTTTGCAGAGATGAGGCCAAAATAATTTTCTCCTGGGCAATGAACGCACCGTCGTACCATATGCCTCCAGGTACAACTATATTTTTTACTTGATTCCCGATTTCCTTAACCCTGAAATTTTTTTAAAGGACGACAGACCGTAATACCCTATCCCAAAAAAAGATAAACAGAGTATGCGTGGATCTGAAGGCTCATTAGTAGACGGAGTCAGGCATAACATGTAATTTAAATACATCCCTTGTTTCTTCGGTGTTCTTTGCGCAAAAATGCAGTACAAGGCTATCTCAGAGACAAGTTGGGCCCATCACAAATGCAAAATTCGATTTAGCTTCTCATGGCGACTAGTTATCAGATTGTGTCAGATTATGTTTACAAGGAGCGGAGCACATCTTAGAAAGTAGAATGAAGATCGGGATTTAGTTGCGTGATTTAGTTGAACCCTGATCACAATGTTCGTCAGAATGTGTAACCGTGGACTTATCAGAAATGCTAAAAGTCTCCCCTAATTTGGGCCTAAGCTAAAATGATGGAATCCATCCGTCTGTGTTTTAAAATCAGCTTCATGGGTAAGACAAAACGAAATGGAGAGCTTCCTTTGTTCGTCTTTGCTAGTGAATTTTTCTACGAACAAACTGCTCATATGGATTATTGCGGCATTCAATAACACTTGCGCCGACTGGTAAACGAAAGAAACAGGAAGTGGCATTTGGAAAAAAGGACATTCGACCTAACACTGAATGATAATGATCAACCGGAGTCACCATAATCGAATCACAACTGATTCCAAAATTAGTCACTGAATTTACTGAGAATATCTGTCCAGGTGACTTTGTTGAAAACGTAACGACTGCTAGCTAACCAAACACCGGTGTCATACTGTAGTGTTTTTTATTCTAAGCCGGATTTATTGACATCTTGTTGTTTGTACCAAGGCTTCACTCAGATCCTTCCACATGCCCATCCATCTTGTTCGACAAAACTCAGTTTTCATGACGTTAACTGTCCTGTGTCAAAGTGAAAACCGTGGAGGAATCAAAGGCATCGAGGACGGTGCTCATTACTGTAAGGCAGTTACCCATTCCGCAATTAACTGGTTGTAAAGTCCATGATTTCTAATGAAATATGGAAATTCTAGGAAACTAGTTCTTTTCCAAGGAGTTGTTGCTACAATGGTAGTGGACAGTCTCGAAATATGCTACGCTCAGCTTGAGACGTCCACAGTGTTCGGCCTAATTTACTCCGCAACCTAGCTGACATGCACTTTTACAAACACCCAAACTCTGCGTGGATAGATTCACGACGGCGGTGTTTTGTTTTGACATTTGGTCCACTTTACGGTCTTGATGATGTCTCTTGCTGACTGGCGAGCGCAGGGTACAGGTTGATGATAGCAAATGTTGAGTGGGATTGTCACAAGCTTTTATGCTCCACTTCCTTCCTTCCTTCCTCCTACTTTCCCTCTGTCTGAACTTCATACGTCAGTACAAAAAAATCGTTCACCTGTAGCATCATTTCGGTGCCTAGCTGCCATGCCAAACAAAGAAGGCACGAGGGCTAGGATACTGTCAGGTTGCCCAAGCCTAGACAGGGGGAGTCGAGAGGCGAGGGTCAGGTTCGAATCACGGAACTTCCGGCTAGTGAATTCGCGCTCTAACCACTTGGTCCATCTCGCCCCCATCAGTTCACACACATTGTTGTTCCATGCAAAGACCAAATGTAACAATCAGACCGTACTGTTGTGGTGCCGCTTGGAGAAGGTCGAAAAATGAAGGCGTGTAATGCTTAAAACGGTGGTCTTCCAATAGGACTGATTTTCTGTTGAAGTTATAAACTTCCATCGCACCCATCTTCTTCTGGCAATCGGTCTCTATAACAAAAGAGTCGACCGTTTAGCGATAAATAACGATCTCAAGAGATAGTCCATTTTCTCCCTAGGAAGCGACACTAGGACATTATAGTTATCAGTTTTGTGATGAATTTTTGTTCAAACAAAAGAGATTTCAAGTAGAGATCTGTCAGTGAAACTAGTCTATACTGAAAAGTCCGAGAGTGCTGTACGGCGGTTTCGTCCCTGTCGGGAATCATCAACAGTACACATTAAAAAAACTCAGAGTTTCCAAGCCGCGACCGTCCTGTCATTGGTTGAACACTCGGTCGTTTAGTCAAGGATGGATGGTCAGTAGTGTGATTGGCTCTCACTTAGATAAGACAGCTCAAATCATCCTTCAACCATCACCTATTGACTGGTTACTCGAGTTCGACCTTCCGGAGGGACAGACTAAAGACCAAAAGTTCAGACAGATGAATCTCAGCAACTTACTAAGCTACTCACTTGCGAATTGGCAGCCTAGGAGAGAAAATCCTACACATACATGTTTGTCTTGCTTTCCTTGATGAAGGAATATAGGACAACTCTGTTCGATTTTAAAAAAAGTAAATTCCTCGAGTGAGATGCTTGCAGAGGGCTATATTGAGAACAGCTCAACTGTCATCTCCATGCTGTTACACAATTTATACTAGAAGAGGCATATTCGCCGAAATTCAAAAGGACGTGTCATATACGTTGTGTCACGCTGGATACCGACGGGTTGTCACAGAATATGAACGACTTTTGGCGTACTATGGAAAGGACAGAAACGGATGTAAATGGGGCTGGTCTCCCCCCTCCCCAAAAAAACACAAGGTACTAGAAGTAACTACACAATGGAAAATATGAGGTTAAACTTTTCATTTACCAATCTAGCGTAAAGTTATTGACCAGTTGTTCTGTTCCTATAATTGTGAGTCGAAAAGGGGAAATAGATTCTATAGTATTCAAGGCATAACCGTAATCTGATGTAAAAATAATTCCTTCAGGTGCTCTGGAGGCTACCTGAGTTCTAATGCTACTAAAGGACATGTTTGGATGTCGTCCGTTTATTTGGTGTGACGCTTTTTCTAACCTGGGTGTCGGTTTTCATAAGTCTGTGATAAGGCATCCGCAAGTGACCCTCATTCGTCTAAACCACTCATCCGATGCTCTCATGTGCACGTCCAACAGCATAGGATCCAACCGCGCGGTCTTTATCGTGCATCCACACTCCGCATTGCTCTGAGATTCACGGTACATTACAGTACAATACAGTACGAATACAATAAGTGATCTACAATTTCAAGACCAGTAACGACCACTGACTTGAATGCTCTCGTTCTCGACGTTCCGGACCATGTACGACTGAAACTCTGGAAGTGGAAGTTTTCCAGGTAGTAGTTTCTTGTACTAACTGAATACCAAAGAAGTGATGACACATCACGAAAGGACATCTTTCCCGATTTTTTGTCAACCAGTTTATTCCGACATTCATTTTTGTCAACTCTTGTCCCGATTTTTGTCAACCAGTTTATTCCGACATTCATTTTTGTCAACTCTTGCTTGATGTCAAGTACTACGGTATCATATTTTAGTCCTTCTTTCGTTCGTTTCTCAGATACCTCATTCAAAGTTGGAGGAAAAGGCTTCAGGAATTTGGTCCTCCAAGTGCACTACAAAGATGCTAGCTATTTCGCCCAATCACGTAATTCTGTTTATTTTACTCTAACCCTCTGGTTTTGAAGCCGATAGAACAGACGCAAGTGGATGGAAACTTGGGATGCTTGACTATCCGTAAGTTGCGGTTCATTTCATGCCTTTTTATAACAATATTACGTATCTGTTATGTTTTAGAACTCGTTTTTTGAGTGGAATGTATATCTTTATCGATGGCGCTTCGTCGCTACCACCAAAAGAGAAAAGTGAGTTGTGGTTTTTCGCTCCGTCCTCCTCTAAACAGTAATACCAATAACATTGCGGTTTAAGGAGCACATCAACTCGAACTGCCAACTGCGGTAGTTATTGCACCAGAGTTGTTATCCGAACAGAAGGACATATGCCAGTACAACAAGCGCAAAGCAGCAGGAACTAACTAAGTGTCACCACAATCTTCTGTGATCTTGTACAACACGTTTCGTAACTTGTGCTCCAAGTTAAACTTGCCTCTCAATTTTTCGCTGTACTGTTCAGTTGTTTGTCTAGAAGGTGCTGAATTCCCATCGTCTTAGAGGTTCGGAGGTTCCACACTGATAATCCTCAAAACAAAGGCGACCAAATAACGTTTGTAGGTTTTTGGAAAAACCAAACTTGAGCTGCACTACAAAATGCACGCTTGGTGATTTTTGAATTAGCCAGTGGTTTTTTCCCCAATGTTGAGTCGGGTGATACTTCGGATCGAGCTCGGAAAGCATTGGTAGAGCAATGGAAGCGAACCTATTGAAGCACGAATTACTCAGTTGCAAACGTTTCAGTACCAATCGAGATTATGCGATTAGTGACAACCCACAGCTATGCTCCCTCACTGATGATATCACCTCAATCGCTGACGAAATGTCTGAAACAAAATTGCGAGCATTTGGATTGCGGGCTGAACAGCATAGGCCATCAAGATCCGATTCTCAGTGAAAACGCGAACGAACCCGGCCTTGCCGAGTTTTTACTGTTCGGGTGCAGCCGCGGTATCATACAGCAGTGTATCATACAAAAGCTGCCGCGAGGTCTGGAGAGTGAGGTCTATAAGCCCCGGGATTGTTGGAAATTTATCGATACCACGACTGCGCTGCCTCTCTGTTGTTTTTTACTTTATTCTCAGAAAGTCTAACGGATAAAATGAGCCTTTACAGTAAGGTGCTAGGTTACCGAATGTTGTTCTCATCTATATGTCTGAATTATCGAAATAGTCCACGCTTCGCTGATAATTAGTGCCTCATTAATTCATCTGAGAACAGAGCTAATGAGCGTTCCTCATTTTTTTTTCAACCAGCATTAGTTGCAATGGCATGCAGGTACACAGGTGAGGTGAATCTGCACCCGTTCGCCTTTCGAACACATGCCCACAGCCATGGTAAGTCTCCTCAAAAAATCAATACTCTGTTTGGCTGCGTGGGCGGATCTGTCGTCGTGACTCGCACGTCCACATTTCTGTCGCTAAATCGCTAGTCACGTACTCTGGTTATTTTTGTCCATCGACGTAGGGGATTCTTCCGGCCATCATCATTCACTGGCATTCTCCTTATCGTTCTATGTATTTGATCAGCATGTTTAGAACGAACACAAATATTTTCATTATTTCTCATCTTAACGTATGACACATATCGTATGTGGTTCACTTTAATGGACAGAAATTTTATGAAAGCGTATGCAGTTTGCGACAAAGGGTGTGTCTGGTCAACTCTTAGGAAGTCGGCTCTTGTGAATTGACTTTCTATATACACATCGCGGGTCGCGTCACCTCAGTCAACAGTGATTTGCTGAGGCTTGATTTCACGGTAAAAATTTGCATGGCTGACTGTTGTCAAGTGATCAGCCACCTCCAAGATACCGAGTGTTAGTTCGCTAGCTCGGTGTTCACTCCATATCAGCATTTTTGGTCACTTTTTGATGTTTTTGGTCATTTTATGGTGACGCCGATTGGTACTGTCACTCCATGTGGCCGTTCGACTGTGTGTGAACTGATAAGCGATATTCGTGGTAAATTGATCGGGTCTTTGCAACTAATCAGATTGTGTGTGTGGGCACTCGTAGTTGCGCACTATAAAAAGTGTGACCTAAGGATGCTGGTGGTAAGTGATTCATTGACAGTGTCCCATTTTCGCTCATCATTACTCATCGTCCAAAGAATCCTGTGGAAAATCTCATCAAATTTCGGTTGTTCTCCTTAGCCTTAGTTCAAAATTCCAGACCCTCTGTGAGTAGTTTCAACAACATACGTAGTATACAACCAACCAACTTTTTGATAGATTTACACCCATTCTTTCTTCGGATAGAAGATGAACTTCAGGTTATTCTACAGTTGGTAGATGATTGACATTACGGCAAACTTACATCCGAAGCAGTGCGAGAAAATGAAAGATCAAGCATGGCACGAAAAGCCGTCACCAGAGTAGTCATTGAACACTGGTTACGAGACGCAATACTTGGCCAGGATTCTAGATTTCATATGATGATTTATATCACATTTCCTTGCGATGCATTTTTCCACTGGAGTTCTTGGGCAAACTCAAGAGTCAGATTTTTCGTTCAGCATCAGGGCAGCTTTCTGAAGCAAGAACAGTGCAAACATACCGAACCTCTCCGTAGAATACTTTAAAAATTGCTAACCAAAACTGTGGAGCGATGCAAACACTGGAAACCGACCACTTGATGTAGCTGATCACACAATGGACTTCCAAACGTCTGCTATCACCTCTTAACAGCGGCATAATCCGACTAAACTACTTATTGAACTGCAGATCGAATAGGATCCGTACGTGAGC